ATGCAAATGGTGTGGGCGATAGCACAGGAGAATTTGGGAATTAGGCGAAATTCTAGTTCTATGGCCGTAAAACGCCAAAAAACAAGGAACGGTCATGGCGGGGCGGTGACTATGGTTCCTTAGGTCATATTTGGGGATCGAGAAAATTTTAGGTGATCCGGGTCCGGGGGCCATTGCTATGCGGAAGGCGTGGGCTATAGCACACGAAAATCTGGGAATCGGGCGGAATTCCAGTTTTAAGGTATTTAAACACCAAAAAACGAGGAACGGTCATGGCAGTACAGTAACTATGGTTCCTTAGGTCCTAGTTGATGGCCCGAACAAAATTTTAGATGATCCGAGTCTGGAGGCCCGGGCCCATGCGAAAGGCGTGGGCTATAGCCCATGAAAATCTGGGAATCGGGCAGAATACCAGTTTTGTGGCCGTAAAAATCCAAAAAATGAGGAACGGTCATGGCGGGGCGGTGACAATGGTTTCTTAGGTCGTATTTGATGGCCCAAAAAATCTTAGGCAATCCGAGTTTGGGGTCCCTAGCCCATGCGGAAGGCGGGGGCTATAACACATGAAAATCTGAGAATCGAGCGAAATTCCAATTTTATGACTGTAAAATGTTAAAAAACAAAGAATGATCATGTCGGGGCAGTGACTATGGTTCCTTAGGTCGTACTTGATGGCCCGAAAAAAGTTTAGGCGATCCAGGTGGGGGCCCGGGACCATGTGATAGGCGCGGGTTATATCACATGAAAATCTGAAAATTTGGAGAAATTCCAAGAAACACGGAACGGTCATGGCGGGGCGGTGACTATAGTTCCTTAGGCCATATTTGATTACCCGAAAACGCTTTTGGCGATGCAGTTTTGGGGGCCCGGGCCCATGCGTAGGCATGCAACATAGCACACGAAAAATTGAGAATCAGGCGGGATTCCAGTTTTATGGCCGTAAAACTCTAAAAATGAGGAACGGTCATGGCGAGGCGGACACTATGGTTTCTTAGGTTGATTTGATGCTCAAAAAAAAATTTAACTACTCCGGGTTCGGGGGTCCGGGCCTATGAAGAAGGCGTGGGCATGCGAAAATTTGAGAATCGGGCAAGACTCCAGTTTTATGGCCGTAAAACGCCAAGGAATGCAGAACGGTCATGGAGGGGTAGTGACTATGGTTCCTTAGGTCGTATTTGATGCTCGAGAAAATTTTTAGGCGATACGGGTCTGGTGGCCCGGGCCCATGCGGAAAGCGTGGGTAATATAACAAACGAAACTCTAGAAATCGGGCGAAATTCCAGTTTTATAGTCGTAAAACGCAAAAAACGAGGAACGGACTTGGCGGGGAGGTGGCCATGGTTCCTTAGATCTTATTTGCTTTTTCAAAAAAAATTTAGGTGATCCAAGTCCGGGGAGCCGGGCCCATGCGGAAGGCATGGGCTATAGCACATGAAAATCTGGGAATCGAGCGAAATTCCAATTTTATTACCGTAAAACACCAAAAAAAAGAGGAATAGTCATGGCAGGGCGGTGACTATGGTTTCTTAGGTCATATTTGATGGCCCAAAAAAATTTTAAGCGATACGTGTTCGGGGACCCGTCTCATGCGGAATGCCTAGGTTACGCGAAAATCTAGGAATTAGGCAGAATTCTAGTATTATGACCTTAAAATGCCAAAAAATAAGGAACGGTCATGGCGGCGTAGTGACTATGATTCCTTAGGTTGTATTTGATGGCCCAAAAAAATTTAGGCAATCCAAGTCCAGAAGCTTGGGCCCATACGGAAGGCACGGGCTATAGCACAAAAAATATGTGAATGTGGCAGAATTCTAGTTTATGGACGTAAATTGCCAAAAACGATGAACGGTCATGGCAGAGTGGTGACTATGGTTCCTTAGGTCGTAATAGATGGCCCGAAAAAATTCTAGGTGATCCGGATCCGGAGGACCGGCCCATGGGAAGTTGTGGGCTATAGCACACAAAAATCAAGGAATCACCTGGACTTCCAGTTTTATGGCCGAAAATGCCAAAAAATGAGTAATGGTCATGGCAAGGCGATGACTATGTTTGTTTAGGTCGGATTTGATGGTCTGAAAATTTTTTAGGTAATCCGGGTCCGGGGACCCGAGCCCATGTGGAAGGCATGGGCTATAACACACAAAAATCTAGGAATTAGGCAGAATTACAGTTTTATGGTCGTAAAATGCCAAAACAAAGAATGGTCATGGCAGGGCGGTAACTATGGTTTCTTAGGTTGTATTTGATGGCCCGAAAAGTTTAGGCGATCCGTATCTAGGGCCCCTGGCCCATGCGGAAGGCGTGGGTAATAACACAAGAAAATCTGGGAATCAGGTGGAATTCCAATTTTATGGCCATAAAATACCAAAGAACGAGGAACGATCATGGCGGGGTGATGACTATGGCTCCTTAGGTCATACTTGATGGCCCGGAAAAACTTTTGACGATGCGGATCCGGGCCCCCCATCCCATGCAGAACGCGTGGGCTATAGAACACGAAAATATGATAATCAGGCGGAATTCCAGTTTTATGGTCGTAAAATGACAAATAATGAGGAACGATCATGGAAGAGCGATGACTATGGTTCCTTATGTTGTATTTGATAGCTGGAAAAATATTTAGACGATCCAGGTCCGGGAGCTCGGATCCATGCGGAAGGCGTGGGCTATGTATATTAGTCACCAAGCAACGTTAGTCATGGCGAAGCAATGTATATTGGTTACCAAGTTCATATGGACCTACATATTTAGGCCAATCGGAGTTCATCAAATAAAATTTTTGGAATCGGCATGTATTAATACACATACAAAAATAGATATAATCGTAATTCATGTTGCATGACCCTGAAACGCTATAAAATGAACCCCAAAGTCGAGGCGCAATAATGAGTGATAGTCACTAGGTCGTTTCCTATTGACCTATGATATTTTAGGCCAATCGGAGTTCATCTAGAAAATTTTGCCAAAAAAATTAACATGTACTAATACACACCAAAAAAGAGGTTGTAATCACAAATTCATTTTTTATGACTATGAAATGCCATAAAATAAACTCGAAAGTCATGGTAAAGTAATAAGTACTAGTTACTATTTCTTACAGACCTACAAAAATTCAAGCCAATCGGGGCCCTTTTTTAAAGAAATCAGAGTGTACTACTCCCTCCGTTCCAATTTATGTGAACCTGTTTGACTAGGCACGGGGATTAAAAAAATGAAGACTTTTGGAATTTGTGGTCTTAAACAAGTCAAAAGGGGGACCATAGTATTTGTGTGGTTATAAAATCTTCTTATTAAGGGTAGAATTCTAAGTTTAAGCTAAATTGTTTTCAAATTTAGAAAGGAATTATTCTTTTTGGAACGGACCAAAAAGGAAATAGATTCACATAAACTAGAAAGCAGGGAGTAATACACAAGAAAAATGTAAATATAATCACAATTTCAGGTTGCACGACCCAAAAACACCAAAAAAAATGAACCCAAAAGTCTTGATGAAGCGATGAGTATAGGTCACTAGGTCGTTTCCTATAAACCTACAAAATATCAGGCAAATCGGAATCCGTCAAAGAAATTCTACAAAATCAACATGTATTAATACACACTAAAAAATATGTATAATCACAAATTTATGTTGCATGACCCCAAAAAATTAAAAAATTAAAAACCGAAAGTAATGGCAAAACGATAAGTACTGGCCTCTAGGTCATTTCCTATGTACCTACGAAATTTCAGGCCAACCGGACCTCGAAATGTCATAAATTGTACCCCAAAAGTCATGGTGAAGCAATGAGTATTGATCACCAGGCCAATTCCTATAGATCTACAAAAATTCAGGCTAATCAGAATCCATCAAAAAATTTCTACAAAATCAGCATGTACTAAACACCCGAAAAAGTAAATATGATCACAAATTCATGTTGCATGATCCCGAAAAGCAATAAAATGAACCCCAAAAGTTATGGTGAAGCAATGAATACTGATCACTAGGTCGTTTCCTATGGACCGACCAAAAATCAAGCCAATCGGAGTCTTTCAAAAGATTTTTACAAAATTAGTATGTACTAATATACATGAAAAAGTAAATATAATCATAACTTCGTATTGCATGACCCCGAAATGCCATAAATGAATTCGGAAGTCATGGCAAAGCAGTAAGTATTTGTCACTAGGTCGTTTCCTGTGGAACTACGAAATTTCAAGCCAATCGGATTCTAACAAAAAAATTCTACAAACTCAGCTTGTTATATACACGAAAAGTGGATAAAATTATAAATTCGTATTGCATGTCCTTGAAACGCCAGTAAATGAACCCAAAAGTCATGACGAAGCAATGAGTATCGGCCGTTGGACCGTTTCCTATGAATCTACAAAATTTTAGACCAATCGGCTACAAAATCAGCATGTATTAATACGTACGAAAAAGTAGATATAATCACAAATTGATAGTTTATGACTATGAAACGCCATAAAATAAACCTGAAAGTCATGGTCAAGCAATGAGTAATGGTTACTAGACCGTTTCCTATGGACCTTCGAAAATTCAGACTAATTGGAGTCCGTCAAAGAAATTCTACAAAAAATAGCAAGTACTAATACACACAAAAAAAGTGGAGATAATTACGAATTCGTGTTGCATGACCTCAAAACGCTATAAAATGAAACCGAAAGTCATGGTGAAATAGTAAGTACTAGTCACTAGGCCGTTTCTTATGGACCTACAAAAATTCAGGTAAACCGAAGTCCGTCAAAAAACTTACAAAATCAGCATGTATTAATACACACGGAAAAATAGATATAGTCACAAATTCATGTTGAGAAACCAACGTTTAAATACCAACCGAAAGAAAAATGCAAGGCGACTTTTCATGTGCTTCAACTTTGGTATGTAGAGTTATCTGGCACCTATGTTGATAAGAGGTAATAAATCGAAGTGCGAGCAAGCTAATTCGAACAACACTGTTATTTAAAAATAAAAATAAATAAAATAAAATAAAAAATAAAAATAAAAAAAGGATGCCACAGAATACATAGAAATTAGCTGAGAAAACAAATCTTCCCAAAAACCAAGCCCAGCAACAGACAACCCAGATGTTCTGCTTGAAACTAGGAGGCATGCATTTTCAAAGCAAATACATCCAAAAGGTGTGTACCTATGTAGAAATATCTCAAATGAATTAAAACTGAAAACAAACATTGTACATCACAGAAAGGTAGGAAGCTACATATGCTTAACAGCAAGGAACTCTAAATATTCACACATATTGGTTGAGAATCTCATCTACTGGGGTATATTTAACATCAGGATAAGCCTCTGATGCCTCCAATCCAAATGACGGTTCAATTGCAAAATTAGTGTGGTCACCCTTCACAAAAGCAGTGTGAGAGATCGATAATATCACGTTCAATGGAAACGAGGCTTCTGCAAGAAAATTGACAATTACATTGAGACTCAAAGTTTATGTTGACCGATATAAAATATCATCTTACACCTAAAGTGGAGAAGAGCACAATGGCAAAATGTTTTCACCTTGTATGTTCTTGAGAACTTGTTCCTCGGGTACGTATACTCTTTCAAGGTTCTTTCCGATTTTCTTCTCCCACAACGATATAACCTCATTTAGTGTAATTATATTATGTGGTGGCCTAATGTAAAGTATTTTGTTCAGTGTTTTTGGATCATCAACAGCCTTGATGGTATAGGTAGCAATGTCTTCTTCCTTGTTAAAAACAGCTGTAGGTACAAAATTAATTATAGGAATCAATTAACAAACAGGAAAACTGATAAGTATACTTTAAACAAAGTTCACCTTTAGTATTGCCATCTCCTAAGATGACAACTTTGTCTGTAGGAGGACCTGAAGCTCCAGGCTGTGCTAAATTTGGAAGAAAATAACCAGCAAAAAAGAAGTTGGCCACATAAGTGAATGGTATTCCTTCAGCCTCAATAGCACGGCGAATTTGAGCTTTGGTTTTGAATGCTGTTTTAGCAGGCTCAACAGCGTGGACACGGTCTACATCATTCCCAAATTCAGAAGGAAAGAATCTCTGAAAACATCACGCATTGAAAAAAGTTTATTGTGCTACCTTGGCCAGTATTTACTGAATCAAATGCAGAAGAGAGAATTTCCCAAGTAGCTGAAAATGATCCCCCAACAAGTATCTATCGAACAGTAACTAGATCAAAGATGAACTGCTTATAAATAGTCATATAGACACATGATGAAAAGGGTTAAAGGGGAAAAGAATAGAGCCGGCGACTATTGAACTTTTTCACTTGTCAAGAGAAGGACCGCAATTGTTCACTGCAAATGCTCACAGATCACTGAATAAAGCAATTCAACCGTTCAGGAAAATACATGCAAAATATTCAAATAGAAAAACCGATTCAAAGTCTTGCAAAACCACTTTTTATGTACTCATTCATCATGTACTTCTAACTATCAAGGCTTGTAAGTGGTAGTAAAAGACGCGCTATTTTAGTTAAGTGACTTCCACAAATGGCAGCTATAATCTTAGAGATTGAGCGTCAAATAGTTTTGAATGTCAATGTAATACTTCATTACCAATATCTAGACAATTAAGAGGTAGTAACTCTTAAAAGGAGTCACTAATGATGCAACAACACCTTCATCTGCCGACAAAGAAAGACTAATTTTGTCACAAGAAGACACATAAAATAGCCAAAAAGATTAGGAATCACCTGTTCTAAAATAAGACGATTTAACCTGCTGCAACCTAAACTCAGCATTATGTTTAAGAAAAGCTATTCATATATATGTAAGATGGAGTTTCCTAATCAATGAATAGGTACTTAAAACCAATCTTATGACTTGAAGTTGATTACAACAGGTTACTGCAGCTTGTTTGAGTTAATATCTTACAAATGTTGCGCCAATCAAAGGAAAATTAGGATTTGAAGTGAGACAGAATCAGAGGCGGAACTTTTGCTCAAACGTTGTATTTTTGTTAAGAAATTCATTAAATACTTACAAATATCAAATTTAGAACCCAATTATTAGCACTTAAAGTTATCGTTCTTAAAATCAAAAACTCACAAAATGGAAATTCTGGATGCGCCTCTATTCAGAATAGGTGCATGTTAAAGTGAATTGTGTTTATATGGCCCGAGAAAAGGCAACAAGTGCAGTAAAACAACACAAAAATACAGGAAAAAGAGTCTCTCACCTCCTTTTATCTCAATTTTAACATAAATGATAAAACAAAAGGACTTACCTTGACATTACCAGCTTCCTTGATAGCAGCAATGATCTTGACCTGATCAGCTAACAGGGCATGACCTACAGTTGAAATCACAACGTCCACCTGCTTTATCGCCTTCACCAAACTCTCATGATCGTATAAATCTCCCTGCATTACATCAAACAGTTGGTCCTCATTTTACCAACTCAATTACCATTCCCCCCAAAACAAATAACACAATGCAAAAAAACTAACACATAATTATTTAAAATCCAGAATCTGTCTCTAAATTGAACAAAATGACATGTACATACATGGACGAAAGTGACACCAACACTCTTGAAAGTATCAATGAGTTTGGTTTTGGTAGGATTGGAAAGTGTGGATTCTCTGACCAACACAAAGGTGTCGTGACCAGCTTTAGCACTAGCCTCGACGATGAATTTTCCGATGTATCCAGTACCTCCAATGAACAGAATTCTACTTTTTCCGGCCATTGAATCGGTGAAATCTTTAGGTAAAAGCGAATTGCGAGTGATATGTTTACTCGTAACGGCCAAAATGGCACGGTTTATAGATGCTAGTGATTACACAAAAATATATCGGATGTTAGCTTTCGGAATTGTCGTTTTACTTTGATTAATTTACCGAATTGTCCTCAAAATAAGTAGTAAATGAACACAGTTGGCTGTTGGGAAATTCATGAATGTGTCCAAGTTCACAAAGTAAGGACGTGAAGAAACTTCGGATATGATAATGATCAGATATCAA